AGTGCTAAAAGGACCCAGGTTGGAAATTCCTTTGTTCAGTGGAGATGATCCTATAGGCTGGTTAATAGCTTGTGAAAAGTTCTTTGACATGTCTGGGACACCTTATGAGCAATTGGTTAATTTAGCAACAGGACATCTGCAAGGAAGAGCATCCAATTGGTTGAAAAACATATGTGTGCCATGGCAAATGATCACTTGGCAACAATTTTGTCAGATGATAGCTGATAGATTTTCAGAAGCAAATGTGCATGAAGCTGTGGAATTACTGAAAAACATACAGCAGACAAATACAGTGGCACAGTATATTGACAGCTTTGAACAGTGTGTTGCCTTGGTGAAAAGAGACCATCCTTGTTTACAAGAGAATTTCCTCCTCAGCTGTTTCATTGGGGGGTTAAGAAGTGATATTAAACATGAGGTGTGTGGACAAAAACCAACTGGTATTATTCAAGCATACTGGTATGCCAAGGTGTATGAGAAAGCTGCAGCAGCAAGGAAAGTGCAAAACACTCCAGTATATAAGACCAGGCCATACCAAAACCCTTATAGAAACTCTAGCAATCCTATGCAAGTGCAAATTCCTCCCCAAGAGAAATACAATGTTCCATTCCCTAAAGATGCTAGGGCCTGTTGGTATTGCAGAGAGCCATGGACTAGGCAACACAAATGTAAAATTGGGAAGACAATACACATCTTACAAGAAACAGAAGATGAGGAAGATAGTGATAATACTGAGGATAGTGCCAGTCAAGAACAAGTGTATCATACAGCCCCAAATACTCCTGACAAAGAAAAGCCCAGTGAAGGGACTGTAGACAAACCTGCACAAGCTATGCATATTTCAGTGCATGCAGTAGAAGGAACTCCTGGGGCAAACACTTTCTCCTTGATCATAGAAATTGCAGGCAAAAGAGCAACAACTTTGTTTGATAGTGGATCTTCAGATACTTTCATTAGCACTGAGTTTGCTATTAAAAGCAATTGTCACCAACAGCCAATGCAACCCAGGAAAGTGACTGTTGCTGGGGGAGGAAAACTAATAGCAAAGTCCAAAGTTCCAGATATGAACTTCAGCATTCAAGGCCACACTTTCTGCAGTAGTTTTAAAGTATTGGACTTACAGGCATATGATATAATCTTGGGGGCTGATTGGATCTATCAGTACAGTCCTATTTCTTTGGACTTAGTGGAGAGGATTTTAATTGTCACAAAACAAGGGCAACCAGTGACACTATTTGACCACTCCATTCCCAAAAAAGAAGTGTATGGTGTCTGCAATGAGAATGGAAAAATTACTCAAGAAAGGAGTAAATGGGATATATCTTACAGATTCAGGAGATGCAAAATGAAGATAATACAGTAACTCCAGCAGCACCAGCAGCTCTAAAACCTCTATTGCAGAAATATGCAGAGATTTTTCAAGAGTCAGAAAAGCTTCCTCCACAGAGAAAATGTGATCATAAGATTGTGCTGCAAGAAGGAGCAAAACCTCCTAATTTGAGGCCCTACAGAGTTCCACATTACCAGAAGGCTGCAATGGAAGAAATCATTAAACAACTGATTAAGAAAGGAGAAATTCAGGAGAGTTTCAGCCCATATTCCTCCCCTGCAATTATGTTCAGGAAAAAAGATGGAGGATGGAGACTTTGTGTGGATTACAAAGAACTCAATGCAATCACAGTTAAGAAAAAGTTTCCTATGCCCATAATTGAAGATTTAATAGATGAATTACATGGAGCTAGAGTGTTTTCCAAGCTGGATCTCAGGTCTGGATACCATCAAATCAGAATGAGCATAGAGGACATCCCAAAAAAAGCTTTTAGAACACACATGGGACACTATGAATACAAGGTAGTTCCTTTTGGATTAGCCTGTGGGCCTGGTACCTTCCAAGGACTGATGAACACAGTGTGTGAAGAGATAAATGAGCCTGAAACAGAAAAGATCATCTTGGTTTTCTTTGATGATATGTTAGTGTTCAGCAAGTCTATGGAGGCACATTACAGACATCTAGAGAGAACTTTTGCTGTTTTGCAGAAACATGAATTATATGTCAAGTTATCTAAATGCACTTTTGCAACCAATCAGGTAGATTATTTGGGACATATTATTTCAGAGAAAGGAGTAGCTACTGACCCTGGTAAAATACAAGCAGTAGTGGAGTGGCCAACACCTGAAAATGTAAAACATCTCAGAGGATTTTTAGGTCTAACTGGATATTACAGGAGGTTTGTCAAGAATTATGGCCAAATCTGCAGGCCACTGCATGACATGTTAAGGAAGGATGCTTTCCAGTGGGGTTCTGATCAGAACACAGCTTTTCAGACTTTGAAAACTGCAATGACCACTTGTCCTGTTTTGATCCTGCCAGATTTTACTATGCCCTTTACAATTGAAGCAGATGCTTGTGCAAAAGGAATTGGTGCAGTTCTAATGCAAAAGGGCAGGCCTATTGCTTTCCTTAGTAAAAGTCTGGGACCCAAATCTTCTGCACTTTCTATATATGAGAAGGAAGCAATGACTATTCTAGAAGCTTTAAGGAAATGGAGACACTATGTATGGGGAAACAAATTGATCATTAAAACAGATCAACAAGCTCTGAAGTACATGGCAACTCAGAGACTTACTGAAGGAGTGCAGCATAAATTGTTGTTGAAGTTATTGGAGTATGATTACACTATTGAATACAAAAAGGGGAAGGAGAATACAGTAGCTGATGCTCTATCCAGAAGAGATAATACACACTCTATGCAGTGCAACAATGTCACTATGGTCATCCCAACATGGACTAAAGATTTAAGGAAAAGTTATCAGGGTGACCCAGACACTGACAACATTCTCAAGAAGGTGGCCACAGACATTGAGGACCCACCAAAGTTTTCCACTCACCAAGGCTTGTTGAAATACAAGAACAGGTTATATGTGGGAGCTACAACTGAATTCAGACAACACCTTTTACAAACATTCCACTCTTCAGCTTTGGGAGGCCATTCTGGGATTAAAGCAACATATCACAGGATCAAGAAAGTGTTTTATTGGCCCAACATGAAAAAAGATGTAGAACAGTTTGTCACTCATTGCCCTGTATGTCAGTTAAACAAAGTGGAACATATACACCCCCCAGGACTGTTGCAACCACTTCCTGTTCCTGACATGGCATGGGCTCATATCACCATGGATTTCATCACAGCCCTGCCAAATTCTCAAGGCAAAGAGGTCATTCTAGTGGTGGTCGATAGATTCACTAAGTATTCGCACTTTCTACCACTAGCTCATCCATATTCAGTTCAGACAGTCTTTGACATGCTGATGGATAATGTCATCAAACTTCATGGTCTACCTGTGTGCATTGTGTCTGACAGAGATCCAATTTTCACAAGTGCCTTATATCAGGAGCTGTTCAAAGCATTTGGAGTCCAAATCAGGTTCAGTACTGCATCTCATCCTCAAACAGATGGCCAGTCTGAGAGAGTGAACCAATGCTTGGAAGCATACTTGAGAGGGATGGTTTTCCAGGAGCCCAAACAGTGGATGAAGTGGTTGCCCCTTGCTGAGCTGTGGTACAATACAAGCTATCACACTTCCTTGAAATGCACTCCATTTGAAGCTTTATATGGATATAAACCTCCACAGGTTGCTGAATTTACTGTAGACTCCTCACTCTCGTCAGAAGCAGCAGTAACAGTTACTGCTCAAGAACACATGTTACAGAGATTAAAGGCTAATCTGGAACACGCTCAGGGCAGGATCAAATACTTTGCAGATCAAAAGAGAACAGAGAGACAATTGGAGGAGGGAGATATGGTGTATCTGAAGATCCAACCATACAGACAAAACGCTTTTGGACTCAGGGGATCTCTCAAGTTGCGATCCAAATTCTATGGACCTTACAAGATTTTGGAAAGGATTGGGGCAGTTTCTTACAAACTCCAATTACCAGAGGGCACAAGTATACATCCAGTCTTTCACATCAGTCAGTTGAAGAAGCATATCGGCCATAGAGCAGTACCATTACCACATGTTCCACTAGTCACACCTGAAGGATACCTCAAAACAATTCCTGTCGCGGTGCTGGATCGCAGAGTCATCCAACGCAACAAGTCACCAGTGGGACAGTGCTTAGTACAGTGGGAAAGCCTCGCACCAGATGATGCTACGTGGGAAGATGCAACCTTTCTCAACAAGACATTTCCGGGCCATAAACTGTTTCGCCTCGAGGACAAGGCGGTTGTCAAGGCGGCGGCATTGTCAGGACCTGCACCTCGTAGCTACTGAAGAAGAGATCGACACTGCAGAGAGGTTCAGATAACGAACGGCCTAGATGAAAAGGAAACGGTTCGAAGCAATCCAACGCTCCAGATCGAGTTGGCGGTGTTTATAAGCTGGGCACCGAGGCTTGTTCGGGCTAAGACGAATATTCGCATATCTAGTATTAGGTAGAACCCTAGCTATCGTACAGAAGCGGGGTCTCTGCCCTTGCGATCCCCTTTGTATCCTCATGAACCGAACCAATTTCCCAATTTCAGAGAGTAAATCGAGTGGTATTTCGAACATCAATTGATCTGGGTCTTACAGGAGGATTGGCGCGAGGAGGGAGAAGGATGGGGATGTCCGGAGCCTCGCCGGGGATAGAAAAGGAGGAGGATGGAACTCACCTGCGCCGCCGTTGGAGCTCCTGAATCGCGCCGCCGCCTGCGCTTCTTTCTTTTCCTCGAGCGGGGGCGAAGGGGTATGTTTGGCGGGGAGGGGCTCTGGCTAGCGAATGTCAAGGCACTATCGAGGAGCATGGAGGCTTCGAATATTCAGGCTGGTTTCCAATCGCGAATACCACATCCATCTGAAGAGGAGCGATATTCGGGTCAGACCAATGCCAATATCCAATATTGAGGCCTAATATCAACTTCCAAACGAGGTATATAAAGGAAAACCCCTGTTAGTTGTTCCTCTCGTGAAAATCCCCAAATTACTTTGAGGCACCAAATCACCAACATCCTCACACCATGTCGCGGCACGGCGTCTTGCCCGACCAAGAGGACAGGATCGATCTCTCGCCCGCCACACTTCTCCCCAAGGTGAGAGCTTACGAGATGGCAGGAGGTGAGCACGCCAAAGGATTAGCTGAGCTCAAGATTGTGGAAGGGGCAATCGGGAATCTGAGCAGGGAGGCATTGCCAGGGCCGGTGTATGGGTTCCAGGAGGTAGGTCTGGCGGAAGCACTTCTGCACAACTTGGCGAGGTGTCAGTTCGAGACCCCGACTCCGTTGCAGTGCTACTCGATCCCGATGGTGCTGGCCGGCCGGGACCTGTTGGTTTGCGCGCACAAGGGGTCCGGGAAGACGACTGTCAGACATGTGCAGTTAGCAGTGTGAAGGATTCAGTTAACTGTAGCGTTTCAGGCAACTTAACGCTTCAGACAACGGACGGCTAGGATGGCTTCAGAGGTTTTACATCGTAGGATCTTTTTGCCGTTGTACTGTAGCGTTTTCCGTTTTTACCAGCGCGCTAGCGGTCACTGCGAGCCTTATAACCAGCCGGGCTGTGGCTGGACAGACCATCCTACTTTCCCAATTCTGAATCATGGGCTAGAACCCTAATACTCGAGCTCCATTTACTCGCAATATACCTTCGAAATTGGCCTGAATTAGCTCTTACCTTGCCTGTAATTAGCCATCTAGTTCCTCGATTCCTCTCGGGTCTGACAAATTGGTATCATGAGCCATAGTTCTTCGGCAGAGAAGCGCTCCCGTGGTGCAAAATTTTTTCCGATCGGCAATTTCCACCCTTTTTCCCACCCTTCTTCTTGAGCTCCGGGAGGGGCGCAGTCTGGGCGGAGCAGGCGGCGGGGTCCGGTGTGGCGGCGAAGGCGGCGGTGACATTCGGGCACAGATCGGCCGAGCAGAAGCGATTGTTCGAACACACTAGTTCGATCGGTAAAATCCCGTGTTCTAGGCGCTGATCCGTGTGTCAGGGCGGAGAATTAGTTGGCGGCGGCAGGATCTGAAGATTTGGGGAGGGTTGCTGAGTTTCAGTGGTAAAATTCCTTACCCATACTTCAGATCGAGGCGATGGGACGCTCCAAGGGGGTCGATGACACTGACCTCCAGGAAATCCTAGCGATGCGTGAGGATTTTGGAATTCTGCAGAAAGATAGCAGTCAGATGCAAACGCAGGTATCAAAATTGCAAGAGGAAGTGAAGTCAATCGGCTCCAAGCAAGGGGAAATCTCTGTTACTGTGGGAGAAGTGGAAAAGGTAGTGTTGGATTTGGGCAAACAATTATCTGCAATAAGTACAGTGTTGCAAACCCTGGTGAAAACAACACAAATAGTGCAACCTGAGGATCGTCCATCCAGCTCTCAGGAAGTACCCAGGTCACCTACACTGAACCAAGACCAAGCTCAGGAACAAGAATCGAGGGTAGAACAGCTCAGGAGGCAATTAGTAGCAGAAAAGGAGAAATCCAAGCAGCTGGAGGAAATTCAATTGCAGAACCTTCCACCAATCAGAACCAACAGAACAAATGGACCTCCTGGTTTTGTGCCCCAAGGAAGACAGGAAACTCATAGCAATGTTGGTACTCCTATGACAGCAAGACAAAATGCTCATACACCCGTTTTTAACCAGTTTTATCAACAGAACAGGGATAGGCAACTCTGGCAGGGCTATCACAGGACTTATGAACAGGACATGCAAGCACAGTTCATGAGATCTCTAACAAAAGGCCCTAAAATGGATTTTCCTCGATTTTCTGGTGAAGACCCAGTGGGATGGATCAGGCAATGTAATAAATATTTTCAAATGGTAGCTGCTCCTGAGGAATACAAAGTTTCATTGGCTCAGATGTATATCATGGGGGAGGCAGATGTCTGGTTAAGAAGATCAGGGCTGTTAAAGAAACAATTAACTTGGAAACAATTTGGAGTTGAGGTGGTGAAGAGATTCTCTGAACAAGGATCTTATGACCTTACTGAAAAATTCAATTCACTGAAACAAGCTAGCAATACAGTGGCTGTTTATACAAAACAATTTGAAGATTTAATGGCAGAAATCATGGAAGAAAGCCCTGAACTAGGAGAAACTTGGTTTGTTATATGTTATGTGAATGGTCTTAGGGAAGGAATTAAGTTCCAACTTAGACCATTGAGACCACAAACTCTAACTGATGCTTACTGTCTAGCAAAAGAAGTGGAACCCAATCATCCATACATCAGTGCAGTGCCAAAGAAACCAAGCATTCCTTTTGTGAATTACTATCAGAAAAACACTGGAGGTGTTCCAAACAAAAACAACTCCGTTTTCCATACTGCACAGCAAAACATTCCAGCCAAACAAACAGAGACCAACAACAATACATTCCAGAAAGTGAGAAAAGCAGGAGAATGTTGGAGATGTGGAGATAAGTGGATACCAGGGCACAAGTGCAAATTAGTACCTAATGTACACTTAATGCAATAGGAAGAGGTTGAACAAGATACTATGGCAGAAGAAAGTATGGAACAAGAACAGGAGGAAATGGTAGAGGAGGGAGAACAAGCCATGTTTATAACTGCCCATGCAATAGGTCAACAAATTGCAGTTCCAACTCCAACTGTGACAATTCACATTAATGGAAAAAGAGCAACAGCCTTGCTGGATTCTGGCAGTAGTTCCTCCTTTATGAGCCAAGACTTTGCAGTAAAGGCAAACTGTCATCTACTCCCAGTGAAACCTAGAAAGATTGCAGTTGCAGGTGGTGGTTAATTAATATCAAAGGCAGTAGTTCCTAACTGTGAATTCCAGTTGGCCAAGCAATCATTGCAGTATACTTTCAGAGTTTTGCCCTTACCTGGATATGATGTTATATTGGGGTATGACTGGTTCACTCAGATGAGCCCAGTAGCCTTCAATATTCCAGAGAATACTTTCAGTTTCACATTGCAGGGAAAAACAACAATTATTGCTGCTATCTTCAATACACCAGAGAATGTTAAAGAAGTGCAAGCTGAACAAATGGGCAAATTGTTGGAGAAAGGAGCTGAAGCATTTCTGTTACAAGTGCATAATATAATCCTGCAAGCACCTGTTGGTTTCAAAACTCCCCCTCAATTACAGAAACTGTTAATGGATTATGCAGATCTGTTTGAGGAACCTAGTAACTTACCCCCAAATAGAGATTGTGACCACACAATCCCTTTAAAACCTGGAACTGAACCTCCTCATACTAGGCCTTACAGAGTCCCTCTGCACCAGAAGAAGGAAATGGAAGAGCAAATCAAGAAATTATTGGCAGCTCACTTTATCAGACACAGTCAAAGTCCTTATGCTGCTCCTGTAATCTTGGTCAAGAAGAAGGACAACTCTATGAGGTTATGTATTGATTTCAGGAAATTAAACTCCCTAACCATCAAAAATAAATTTCCTATTCCTGTTATAGAGGATTTGTTGGATGAGTTACAAGGGGCAAAGTACTTCTCCAAATTAGATCTGAGGGCAGGCTACCATCAGATCAGAATGCACCCAGATGACATTCACAAAACTGCATTCAGAACATTCTTGGGCCATTTTGAATACTTAGTAATGCCTTTTGGCTTATCCAATGCTCCTGCTACTTTTCAAGCCCTAATGAACAAGATCTTTGGGCCTCATCTGAGAAAGTTTGTGCTAGTGTTCTTTGATGACATTCTCATCTACAGCAAGACATTGGAAGAGCACATTAAGCATGTAGAAGAGGTGTTTAGAATATTGAAGGGAAATCAGTTATGTGCAAAACTCTCTAAATGTGTGTTTGCAGTTCCACAAGTAGAGTACTTGGGTCATGTCATATCTGCTGAAGGGGTAGCTACTGATCCACAGAAAATCAAAGCTATTGCAGAATGGCCCATTCCTGACAATGTCACTAAACTGAGAAGTTTCCTGGGCTTAGCTGGTTACTATAGAAGATTTATTAAGGGCTATGGAGTTATTTGCAGACCTTTGCATGATCTCCTTAAAAAGGGACAATTCAAGTGGACAAGTGCACATGATGCAGCCTTCTCTCAGTTGCAACAAGCACTGATTACTGCCCCAGTGCTTGCTCTGCCCAACTTTTCTTTACCTTTTGTATTAGAGACTAATGCTTCAGGAAAGGGTATAGGAGCAGTACTCATGTAGTAGGGAAAACCCTTGGCATATTATAGTTCTTCCTTGTGCCCCAAAAATGTAGCATTGTCCACTTATGAGAAAGAAGCTCTGGCTATTTTGGAAGCTTTGAAAAGATGGAGGCATTATCTCATTGGACATGAGTTGATCATTAAAACAGGTCAACAATCCCTAAAGTTCATAACTGACCAGAAAATCACTGAAGGGGTCCAGCACAAACTGATGATGAAATTACTGGAATTCAATTTTCAGATACAATACAAGAAAGGCATAGCAAACAAGGTGGCTGATGCCTTGTCCAGAGTCCTGCCATCTTGTTTTGCTATATCTGTAGCCACTCCAATCTGGGCACAAGAACTGGTGGAAGGATATCAGAAGGATCCAACTACTAAGGCAATCCTGGAGAAGCTGCTGTTGCAACCAAACCATACTATGTCTGACTATAGTCTGAAGGCTGGCATTATCAGATATAGAGGAAGAATCTTAGTGGGAGAATTTTCCAACTTATGGCAGAGATTAATTACTGCTTTGCACAGTTCTCCAATTGGTGGTCACTCTGGTACTAGGGCTACATATCAGAGAATCAAGAACATATTCTATTGGCCTGGCCTCAAAGCTGCTGTAGAATCATTTATTACAGCTTGTCCAATTTGCCAAAGAGCTAAACATGAGAACTGCTTGCAGCCTGGTCTTCTAGAACCACTCCCAATAGTTGACATGGCCTGGCATCATGTAATCATGGATTTTATAGAAGGGCTGCCCAACTCTCAAGGCAACGAAGTCATACTGGTTGTTGTGGACAGGTTTACAAAATATGCCCATTTCATTCCCCTGTCACATCCTTATAATGTGATGACTGTAGCCCAGGCCTTTATGGACAACATTATCAGATTGCATGGCCCTCCCAAAGTCATTATAACAGACAGGGACAGAATCTTTACAAGCAAGTTGTGGAAAGACATCTTTGCAGGAATGAAAAGTGAGTTGAGATATAGCACAGCCTATCACCCACAAACTGATGGTCAAACAGAAAGAGTAAACCAATGTGTAGAAACCTATCTCAGGTGCATGACAACTTCTCACCCAAACAAGTGGTGTTCCTGGTTACCTCTAGCAGAATTTTGGTACAATACTACTTATCACACTGCCTTGAAAATGTCCCCCTTCCAAGCCTTCTATGGATTTCCTCCTCCATTGATTTCGGAACTAGCAATACCAGGACCTGATGAGGAAGAAGCACACAATTTCCTAGCTGCTAAACAGCAAATGATGGAGCAACTGAAGGAAAATCTACAGCAAGCTCAAAACAGAATGAAAAAGTATGCAGACCTTAAAAGAAGTGAAAGGATGTTTGAAGTGGGAGATATGGTATACTTAAAAATGGCTCCCTACAGATTAGCAGCTTTTGGATTCCGAGGAGCCTTGAAGCTACAAAACAAGTATTATGGACCATTCTTAGTTATCCAGAAAGTGGGCAAGCTGGCATACAAGTTACAGTTTCCTCCTCATGTGCAAATCCACCCTGTTTTTCATGTCAGCCAGTTGAAAAAGCACATTGGTCGTAAATCTATTCCAAGCCCTAATCTACCAATGGTAGCAGCGGATGGAACTATTAAAACAGGGCCAGAAGCAGTGTTGCAAGTGAGGCAAATTCCCAGGCATAATCTCCCTGTGGTGCAGTGGTTTATACAGTGGGAAAATCTATCTCCAGAAGAAGCAACATGGGAGGATGCGGACTTCATCAAGTACACATTTCCTGACTTTTTCAAGATCACTACACAAGCATGGCGCGCACATCAACAAACGCCGTGAGGACTCGTCGTTTCTCAAGGGGAAGGCAATGTCAGACATGTGCAGTTAGCAGTGTGAAGGATTCAGTTAACTGTAGCGTTTCAGGCAACTTAACGCTTTAGACAACGGACGGCTAGGATGGCTTCAGAGGTTTTACACCGTAGGATCTTTTTACCGTTGTACTGTAGCGTTTGGATTAGCTGAGCTCAAGATTGTGGAAGGGGCAATCGGGAATCTGAGCAGGGAGGCATTGCCAGGGCCGGTGTATGGGTTCCAGGAGGTAGGTCTGGCGGAAGCACTTCTGCACAACTTGGCGAGGTGTCAGTTCGAGACCCCGACTCCGTTGCAGTGCTACTCGATCCCGATGGTGCTGGCCGGCCGGGACCTGTTGGTTTGCGCGCACAAGGGGTCCGGGAAGACGACCGCCTTACTCATCCCGGTGTTGAGTGGGCTGGTGACGGCGCCGGTAGCAGCAGCAAGAACAAAACCACGCGCGCTCTTGCTCGTGCCTACCGCCAGGCTTGCAAAACAGGTAAGAGGATGCCTCTCAGCAGATTCCAAGGTGAATTTGTTTGCGCATATTCTCTCTATCTTGCAACCGACTTCAAAAAGTTTTTTGTTTATTTGAATAATAAAATATGGATGAATTTTTTCAAAAGACCTTACAGCTATATTTTTCTGTAAAATCTTACAACTATTCGAAGAGAGCCAAGCCAAACTTTTCTCTGCAATCGTTTTAGAATAAAACACAAACTGCAAGATGTCTTGTCGGTGATATCTCTTGTGCCACGCCTGTGGTCGCAATTGTCTTGTGTCTATTAGTTGTACTCACCATGGTAGCTTTGACATCCTTATCATGAAAAATATACTTAGGCAGGTAGCTGTTATGTTGTCATTCTTACGGAGCCAAATTATGCTATAACTCCTTATGATTACACGCTGCAGCAGATTGGTTGCGACTGCAAACCGAACATACTAGTTTTTACGGATTGAGGCTGCCAAATCAAAGAATCAGCTTTATTACTCCTGGTTTTGTGAGTTCAGTTTAATGTTGAATTTGTTTATTTAGGATATATTGCACATCTGTTGTGCATTTTCTATTCACATCGGTAACTACATATGCGCTTTGTTTTCTCACTAATAGGTGGCTTCCATAACTAAGGGTA